TATGGTCTTTGTCGCGACTCGCGGAGCATATTATTATTATAATTATTATCCATCGATTTAATTCGTTTCTCAGTCCAATATCATTAGTTGCATAAAGCTGCAACATTTGATCCTCAAGTAGTTTGAAACAATTTGATGTCGCGAACGTTTGACTTTATTTACCAGTTACAGTTTATTTAAAATTCGTTGTTATTTTCAGGGGATTTCACTTTAATCTCAAAAGGGGCTGTGAAGCGTGACGAAATCGAAGACAAGGTTTATTGTTTCTTCATATGTACTACGTATATTTGTAGATTTTTGTTTCTTTGTTTGTTTATTGTTTGCTGCTTTAATAATTTGCTAAATAGCTAGTTGTCTTCTTACTCTCGTTTCTTAACCTCGAAAATTTGCAGGTTATTTGGATTACTGGAGCAAGTCGTGGAATAGGTAGGCAGTAGGCTGATACTTTCCGTTTATAATGCCATGAAGTTTACCATAGTTTAATTAATTGTTGATTAGTTGATGTCTTCCTGTCATGATGAAGAATTAATATTCTCTCGTGTTTCTTTGCTAATCAACAGGGGAGGTCCTATCAAAGCAACTTGCCAGCTTAGGGGCAAAAATTATTTTATCTGCACGAAATGAGGCTGAACTACAGCGTGTGAGGCAGCAACTTTCTGGTAGGTTTTTCTGTATAGGACGGTAAAAACTGTTTTGTGTGATGCTTTTAGTTTTAATTTTTCTATTTCATAAACTTTTGTGGTCATGCAAACTAGGAAAACATGCACCGAATAAAGTGGAAGTTTTACCCCTAGATTTGACAGCAAGTGAAGATGTTCTTAGGAAGGCTGTAGAGAAAGCTGAGTCTTTTTTTGATGGATCGGGTGTGGATTATATGTTCCATAATGCAGCTTATGAACGTCCTGTAAGTGAATAATTATTCCAATAATAGATGCTAGTTGAATGATTCAGCCAAGCTTTTGTGATTAACGAAGCTATTAAATGATTCTGTTGAGAGGACTTTTGAGCAAAAAGAGGATGAAGGGATATTCCCCCCACCCTCCAAAAAGACTGTTGAGGGGGTGCACTACTGCACTAAAAGTTTCAAACTGACTCTTTTGTAAATAAAAATAAAAAAAGGTTTTTCCACATCTTGTATACGATAAGGAAAGGAGAAGCGGGTAGAAAGGGGATGGTCTAGATTATAACTCAAGTTTACTTTCATGCAATTCCCAACCATCTAAAACAAGTATAGTTCATGGTGCACTGATATATTTTTTTAATTGGTGATGAGTAAATACAATCAAATTCTTGTTTACAGAAATCAACAGCACTGGATGTCACAGCAGAAAGTCTCAAGGTATTATGTCATTGGTAGTTTAAAGCATGATGCTGTTGAGAATTCATTGCCAGGGTTTGTGCGGTTGGTTGTCAAATTCATACAACTGATACAAGAATGCAATTAATCTTGAAAAGGTCTCACTTAGTATGAAAGTTTCCTTTTTTTCTATATAGAATCTTGCATCTACCCTGACTATCATAAGTTCAATGTTCTCATGCTGAGTGATCCCATGTTTAAGCTCTGAGGTGGTTCAGACTTCAGAAGACATTAAAACCAATTTATGGAATCATGTCTTTACTTTTATGTTAGTAGGCCACTTTTGATGTGAATGTTCTTGGCCCAATATCTTTGACTCAATTGTTGGCGCCATACATGCTGAAGCGGGGAAGAGGACATTTTGTTGTGGTAAGTTCTAAGTAGGATGTAGCTGTGTTGACTATATTTTAGACTTTTAGTACAGCAGTTCTATATTAGTGTTGGTTGGATAGTACTCCGTATATTAAAGTGATAGTGATCTCTTTAAATTGCTACATTGTGTTTCATTGATCTCACGAGACCCTTTTATGATTTGTGTGTTACTTGGCATGAACTTTGAATTAACTTTTATTTTTTGTGATTATTCCTATATTGCTTTAATGATGTGGTTGCATTTGAAAAAAGGTAGGTTCATGTTGAAGAGCTGTCTTGTATATGTAGTATTACAGCTTATAATTTGTGGTTAGCTGAAATAGAAGTAACAAAGAAATGTGGTTTTATGATATGCAGATGAGCAGTGCTGCTGGAAAGGCTCCTGCTCCAGGCCAAGCAGTGTACTCGGCTTCCAAATTTGCATTAAATGGATACTTTCACACGCTGCGTTCTGAGGTATGTTCAACTCAACTCCATTTAAATTTAATCTCAAATCTCAATCTGGTAGGAAATTTGAGGAGAGCGATATAGTTGATATTTTTTGCTCATATGTTCATTGATTGTATAGAAATTGCCCTAAATAGGATTAAAAATGTTTGTGAATTCCAAAATAGGACTACTATGTTTTTATTCTCTAACATCCATGTTTTGGCATTACTAGGCTTTAAACATGGCAGAATACTCCAAGCTTGGCATTACTCCTATTTAGGGAATAAAAACATAGTACTCATATTTTGGATTTACAAAACATTTTTACTCCTATTTCGAAAATTTTCACTTGATTTTATTGTCAATTTGATTTTAATACCTCTTTTAGTGTATCTAATTGGAAGTCATTTGCTAGGATTTCTCCTTTGTTTTAAGTACTTTGAGCATCAGAGCATGTAATCCTATAATAAAAGGGACAAGATATGAAACATCAAAGCAAGATATAAAAAGAAAACGTGTAGAACTCCCCAAATTCCAAAAGAGAAGGAAAACTCCCTAAAATTCCATTGCCCCTTCCCTCTATCAGTAATCTTTAATTGCTTCTAGCATGTAATCCAAAGAGTCCCAGTAATAACACTGTACCCTTTCGAGTTCACATGCGGTTCAGTATGGTGGCTATGCTTCGTCTGGTCGGCTTTTTTTCTAACTAAAAAGTACTCTACACTTAAGATTTACTTGACGTATGCTGACTTGACTTATGCATCATATATGGGTAGGAATATGTATGTAAGAAAACAATAAACATGTATGACCAATCACCAATGGTTGGGAAACTGGTCCCTTGCCAACACTCATACTAGAAAATATAAAAAAATCCAACATATGCCAGCAGTACCATGTTATTGTATCATAGTTCCATGTTTTTGTGCGCATCAAGTCATCAACACATTTAATGTGGATAAGTACTATGGCTGTGCGGCTTTGGTATCACTTCCTTGGTATTCTTCATGTTTATTTTTTAGTTTTATTTCATTGCAGCTTTGTACGAAAGGGATTAAGGTTACAATAGTTTGCCCGGGACCTGTAAAAACATCAGAGATTCCTGAAGCAAGCATCTTAAGAGTAGGGGGTGCCACTGAGGTAATGACTTTTTCTATAAAACATAAACAAAACACAATTATGATCCACTGTCTTCTTGATTAGTTATGCTGTATGGTCAAAGTTATGTTCACCAGTGTTGTAGCCAGGACCCAAAATATTGAATTTGGGGTAGCCTAGAAAAGTAGTTTATTCAGATAATTTTTTACTCAAAAAATTACACATGAAGCTTGAGGTGGACCGGGCCGTGTTGGGACCTACACCTCTGGTGTCACTACATATATCTTGCTTAAACCTGAAAAGAACTGTTCTTGTAGGCTTGACAATCGAAGCTAATGTTCAATATTTCCTTGTTTCTTGTAACCCATTGTTGAAGAGTCCAACTGGGAGCTTTGAAGTTAGTATTAATGAAAAACTGGGTAATTCAAACGTGAGCTAAAGGACAATTGCTTGAGTAAGAAATACTACTAAAAACTAGTCACTAGGACATGCAAGTTCATGTTCCTCCGTTTTTTTCATCATTACTGATTGTTTGGATCATGAATCCTCTCAATTCTTTTATGAATCCCCCATCTCCAAATGGAGCAGAAAGTATCAGTTTCCCAGTTTCCGGATGTGTGAGACATGTGATCCTTTTAACTTATTGCTTTCAATAATGTGTCTTCTCTTTTATTGTTCTCTTTCAGAAGCGTGTCTCCTCTGAACGGTGTGCAGAACTGACCATAATTGCTGCCAGCCATGGTCTCAAGGAAGCCTGGATATCATATCAGGTAGTAATTTCACCCAGCTGTGATTATGGTCTATTTATGGGGAAGAAAGTCTAGTCACCCCTAGCCGGCGGGGTAGTTTGTGAAGACCTACCTAACGCACTAACATTGTATGTCTCTTGTGTTCTTGCAGCCTGTGCTTGCTGTAATGTACTTAGTACAGTATGTTCCAACAATTGGATACTGGCTTATGGACAAGGTATTATAATACTACGTACTATATAATGTTATATGGAGTAAATAGCTAGAATGGGTTCATAAGATATAAGAAGAGATATGACTATGTTGGACTCTCTTATGAGTTAATCTCTACCGTCGTAGACTTATACTGTATCTACTCTTCCAGTGTTTCTCTCTATGGCTGCTGAGCTGGCATGGTCTTTTAACGTTTTTTTTTTTTGCAGATTGGAGCAAAGCGTGTAGAAGCTGCAGCCCAGAAAGGCAACACCTACTCTTTGGGTTTACTTTTTAACAAACAGAAGGCGCATTGACCAGTTTGTTTGTTTATTTACTACGTAGTTTTCAAGCACATGTGATAGATCATAGATAATAAACGAGAATCAATGTTAAATGTCAATGTTGCGTATAATTTTTGTTACAAAAAGTTCATCTCAATAACATTTGCGGTCATATATCTTGTGTATTATTCAACAATGAGACACGCTTCTTTTAGAAAATAGTTATACAAAAAAAGGTTAACTAATGAGTTGTGAAAATGAATAGAGTAATACATTTCTTTTTTTTTTTGTATGCTAACAATAAGAAAATTACAATCTAGTAAAGTAACAAAAATAAGGAAGTATTTTAGTTAATTTTTGGGATTATAAAAAGAGTTCATCTATTAAAAATGGATGAGCACAATTATGAATTATTCCATTGCTTTCTATTTTGACCTCTTAAATACTTCGTACTAAATTTTGTTCTAAAATGATTAAATAACTATTTGATAACAAGGTGTAAAAACTTCTCTCTCTAGGGCATTGCGCCGCTGGGGGCTTTTTTCGATTTCGCCGTGGACAAAGATCGGCTTGATTTTGGGGAGAAAGTTAGGGGTCGTGCGGTGCTTTGCTGCAGATTTTCCAGCGAGGCGGGGCTTATCGTTCTTCAGGAGCGATGCAGGCGCCACTCGAGAAAGAAGGGGCAGGGAGCGGTCTGCAACGCGAAAGATTCGGTAGATGGAGGATATTGTTAATAACTACAAGAAGTGGTTATTGGTGAGGAGAACAATGAACTCAATTTCGATGATGAGGAAACGGGGGACTTGGAGGCGGTCGATGAGCCAACGGTGTTCCCGGTGGTGGGGGTTGTGGTCACGGATCGGAAGGTTAGACTTCCGAGGTTTCAGGAGCTGTTAACTTCAATATGGAGGCCAGGAAGAGGTGTAGCTATCAAGTAAATTGGGGATAAAAGGTACCTTTTTGAATTTAATCATGTGTTGGATATGAATCATGTACTTGAAGATGGACCTTGGTTGTTTGAAAGAGACTTAGTTCTTTTGAAAGCTATTAAGCCAGATGATATACCTGAAAATATGAATTTGTATGAGGCTGAATTTTGGGTACAAGTTCACAATGTTCCCTATAAATTTAGAAATTTGACTTTTGCCAGGAGAATTGGGAACTTTTTGGGTACTTTCATTAGGTTTGATAAGAGTCAGTTCGAAGGCAACCAGAAATCATACCTGTGTATACGAGTTTGTATGGATGTGCGAAAACTCCTAAAAAAGGTACTACTCTAACGAAAGAAGGGGTGGGACATTGGGTAGATTTTAATTATGAAAAACTGCCTAATTTCTGCTTCATGTGTGGGGTAATTGGGCATTTGGACAAATTATGTCCCTTGAAGTATGAAGAGAGTTTTGTGGTAGAGAAATCCTTTGGGGTGGAGCTTAGGGCTGGAGGTGGGGTGAAGAATAGTCCCTTAGGGACTAATAAGTGGCTAGTGAATGATTCCTCAAGCTCCGGGGGATTTGGGCAACAGCGGAAGACTGATCTCGGGGGAGAATACTCGGCAGAGACAGGTGCAAGTGTATCCCAGCAAGGTGGGAAGGATGATAAGGAGGAGGTGCCCAGTGAGACAAAACGCAGGAGAATTTGGGAAGACCAGGCTAGAGAAGATGCAACTAGAGAGGGCATGACACTAGACAGGCCAAAAAATGGGGAGGCGGCGGGTCAATCTTCCTAGACCCGCCGGTAATAAAGTTGGCAACTAGGCTCTGGAAGACGAAGACTGGTTTTTTATTATTTGTTTGCCTTTATTTTTCTTTCAGTGGTCAGACTGTTCTAGTTTACTGTTATTTTTCCCTTTATTTTAAGACTCTTGCATTAAGTTTGGGGAATGAGAGGTCTGCGGTAATCGTCATTGGCTTTAAGTTTCCCAAGTTAGGTCTAACGAGTTATATTGCTTTGTCAAAGGTGATTAACTCAGAGTCTCGGCCAAGGGCGGATGATTACATGTGATCCTTTTGTTATCTTGTACCCTTGCTGAATGCTTTTATATTAATTTAAGCTCTCTTCGATAAAAAAAATCTAGTTGAGTTCTAAAAACTTTAAGCGTATTGCTACTTGCGCTAACTAGTGTTTTATCTTATGTTGATATGGATAACACTCCTTTTAGCATTTTTTTAGATAGAAGTGAAAATATAGTTTTTTAAATCACCATTTCAGGACATTAAACACAATTTCTATCATAGTGGAGAAATTATCAGATTCAAGAAAAGCAAAATAACTAAGCTGTAATTTGATGGGGTATATAAGTATACATAGTACTCCCTTCCGTCCCTATATAAAAGGCATAGTTTGGCTGGCACACAATCTAAGGAATACTGTTTGGACACTATTTGCACTATTTTGCACTGTTTTGTTTCCCATATCCTTCTGCGCTTCTGCCCTCCCGACACCTCCTCTGGGCTCATGGAGTTCCCTTCCTTAATAGAACTATCTTCAGTTCCTATAGTAGCCTCCTTCCAGCCCTGCCCTCCTGTTCCCTTACTATCACTTCGTTGCAGTACTCCCATACCTGTACTTGAGGACCCTTCAACTAGCCACTTATTTCCTCCTGTTGGACTAGTCTCCCCCCCCCCCCCCCCCCACTCACAGCTCTAAGTTGAACTCCATAATTTTGGCAAAAGTGATGTTATCTCCCTCATATACTATTGGACAAAACTTATCAGAATGCCCAATAATCCCACAAATAAAGCAAAAATTTGGGAGCTTTTCATATTTGAAATCCACCCACGAGCTAATACCCCCTCTTTTTCGTTCCTTTTTTCAGGGGTATCCTAATATCCATACGGACCCTAATGCGCATATAGACCTCTCATTTTTCATCAAACTGATGACTGTCATCAAAGCTAATAAAATTTCCAATATAGTTACCAATTTTCCTAGCAGATCCTAGATTCATGAAACCATACGCCATATTATGAACCTGAAACCAAAATTCGGTCGCATACAGACTAATTTGAAGAGGGATATCCTCTGCCTTAATTTCATTTAGTATCAATAGGTTCCTTTCAAACAACCAAGGACTTTCATCTAACACGCGTCTCATATCGAAATTGTGATAAAAAGTAAAAATGTAGCTTTTCTCATCAATTTCCTTAATGGACACACCTTTGACTTGCCTCCACAGAGATGCCATCAGCTTCTTGAATATCTGAAATTTAATCTTCCGATCCGTGAGAACCATACTAATCATCGGGAAAATCACCATCCCATCGTTAGTCGTCTGCCCTTGTTAAGACACGGGGTTCCATCCTAAAAGGTCAACCTAATAGGAGGAGTAACCCATGTGTTAATATAACACTTTGTTCATCCAAATGTTTCCGGTGTGGGACATTTAACACCCCTCCTCACGACCAGACACTTCTTCTGGATCGTGCAATCATTCATTTTTTTTCATCCGACCGTTTTTTTTATAATCGTGTCATTATTTTTCATAAGGGGCCCCACATCATGGATCGATTTGGCTCTAATGCCATGTTAAGTCACAAGGTTCCATCCTAAAAGGTCAACCTGATAGGAGGAGTAACCCATGTGTTAATATAGCACTTTGTTCATCCAAATGTTTTCGGTGTGGGACATTTAACAACCCTTCATCTTCATCACCATCGAAGATCAACTCCTCATTATCCTCTCCAATAGCCATCTGTTTGTATTGATGTACAATATCATCCATCGAAAAACCAAGCCCCCCACCGTCTACAGAAACCAAACCGTCTTTATCCCTCCCCCGTTCGCGAAGCCCGGTGCTCCCCAACTGCGTCGCGACCGCTACTTGCCAAGGAAGAAAATAGCAGTGAGCCTCGCCCCAAATGCCAAGCAAAACAATCCGCCTTATCGGCGGCCGCTCCTCGTTGATACCGATAGCGAAAGAAAGTAACCCTAGCGGCGGAATACCCTAGAGAGAGAAAACTTTATAAAATATCTATATAAATGACATGATTTTGTTATAAACCTCTTTTCTCTTTTGTTTGACGTGCTTATCAAAGACCCTCTCCTAGTCTCCTTTATGCATATATATGGAAATAACTTGTTTAAATTAATCACATCTCAGCATGAAACCGGTCAAAATGTCAAATGTGAGATGTTAAGTAAGAAAGACAAAATTTAGCGATTGGGACAAAATTCATACAATGTTTTTTTTTGTCATCTTAGCTATTTAATTGGTTCTTTACATGGTTTGAAATTCTTGATATCACTTCTACGGTTACATATATTAAAACTTAATTTATAATTTCATGAGAAAATTACTATGTATCAATGTATGAGTAAAACTACTCCACTTTCCCTATGTATGATCTTATGAGTTTTCCCAGTAGATACTACTTATGTGATAATATTTACAAAACATATTTAACGGAGTAATACATAAATACTACGTATATGTTATGTGGACTACTATGCACTCAAATTATTATAACTCTAATCCTCTCACTTCTTTACTCATCGACTCCTTTCCCTGACATCGATCATCAACCACCTCTCACACGCCTCTCTCGATCGACTCTTCCTCCCTGAATGTTGCCGTCAGTCGGTCGCCTCCGCGAGCCGCTACCTTCATCCCGTCAGTCTGTTGATCATATCCTCTACTATGCTCTCACGACTCTTTGTACTATAAGCCATTAACTTATGTAGCATCGATACAAGAACGCGGAACGCGGAAACGGGTACGAGGATACGACAAAATGAAAAAGTAGGATAAGAATGCGAGGGTATATTTATAAATATTAAAATTTATGGGGGCGTATTTATAAATATTAAAAATATGTGGGTGTATTTATAAATATTTAAAGTTATATTTTTAAAAAAAATATATACATATATTATCTCTTGTTCATTCATGGCATTGAAACATTTCACATTATCAGGGTAATTAGAAATAAATTCATATTTTATCTCATATACACGAGTGCATCTAGACATATAAATATGGTCAGTGAGCCACTAATTTGAAGCAAGAAACAAGTCAGATAACCACAATTTTCGAATTAAAAGTGCAAATATTCAAAGTTCTTGGATAAAAGATTCTCAATGAAGATAAAAATCAATGCTTTAATAAATAAATAAAAACTAGTTTTGTACCAGGACGTTGTCCCGGGTGCAACTCCCATATGAAACATTAGAGCCCGTTTGGTAACCCTGTTTTTTGGCTTATCAATCTTATCAGCTTACTTTTTCACCAAACACGTAACTTTTAATTCTGTGCGCTGAATTGTGTAATAATCAAATTAAGGGGGTGTTTGGAACTGATTCTGCTTCTGCTTCGTTTTTAAAAGCAAAAGCAAAATCAGAATCAGTTTTTCAGAAGTTGTTCGCCCCCAACTTCTAAAAGACTGCTTCTAGGAGTAATTTGGAGCACCCCAGAAGTACTTCTTCAATTTCACCCAAACACTCCAATATCTGCTTCTACTCTCTGAAGAAGCAGAAACAGTTGTAAGAAGCAGATCCAAACACCCCCTAAGTAAGGTTGGAGTTCTTTTCTGGCTGTATTCGTTGAAGTTACTGTAGAGAATCATTTTAGCTATTTTTAAATTATTCTTTCTTTATTTTATTAATGAAAAGTATTTTAAATATAATTTGTTCATTAAAGGCAATACAGCATTACAGCCACTTCAGCCAAAATTTCATAAATTTCAGCACAATCGGCCAATTCAGCCTATTTCAGTGTTACCAAACGGGCTATTTGTTTATAATTTTGTATATGTGTGAAATATATCTTCCTTATGAATTTTATAATTCTCCTTAGAATGACTAAAAGGCATAAAAAATTGAAAGACTTGTTTCAAAATTCTGGAAAATCTCTTTATAGACAACATTTATGATCTTGGTGAAAACCCTCCAATCTTTAGAGCGAATTAAAATGTTCAATCCTTTTTTTGCTCTTGACCCTTGATATGGAAACATATAATTGGCCGTGAGTAAAGACATTTTTCTCGAGATATAGTCTGACCTGGATACCGTAACCGGGAATTGCTTTCTCTGAAAATTAAAAGGGAGTGTTAATCAAATGGAGATAACGGCGCCTTGGAAATGTGAACAGTGCCCCCCATATTTCTTCTAGTGATGACCTTTGCCTCTAGCACATGTTTTCCGAGCTTAGTGAGAATCAACCTGGATCCATCACATAATCCCGCCAGCTAGTCTATATTTCTCAAGAGTATAATGGGAGCACCAACCTTTATTAGATTCAATTCGTGATCAGGCAGTCCCAAAATTGAGAGACTATTAACAAATTCGAGTGTATACATGTCATTCTCACGACACAAATCAACATTTGTACCAATAATGCTATCTGAGCTGAGGTACGTAACTTAGTCACCAAGAACCAAATATACCATTTATTTGGCAAACCACGTTCAGAGTAGGTGCAAGTATCACTCTTTCATGTATGTAAGTTGGATAGCCGAGGCATTCTTGCAGGTTAGGATAAGTGATATTAACGATAGCAAATTCATGTGGGAGTTCCACTTCTGAAACTCCATCTACTTATTTTGCGATATCACTGTCCCCAGCCTTTAAAATCTATGAACCAAACTTTTCAATGTCACTCTTTTCATCAAGAGCAGTTGAAAATAATCTCATATTTTTCGTGAGACGGCAAAGTGCACAATCACTCCAAAGATAAGAAGAGTTGATGGTTGCCACCACCACGTCGACTCTTCCCCTCTTTCGAATGACTGGCAAAATTTGCCGGAAATTTCCTCCAAGAATAACAACCTCTCCTCTGAATGGTCTATTTTCATTATTTGGATAACTCAGGCTCATAATGTCTTTCAAAGTCATATCTAAAGCCTCAAAACAATGTTTGTACATCATTGACGCTTCATCCCATATAATTAGGAATGTGGATCGGAGAAGCTTTGTCTTGGGACTTCCTTGATAAATATTATTGCTGGAGTTTTCAGCGGTACTCAGTGGGATATAAAATCTGGAATGTGTTGTCCCACCTCCAAACAATAGTAATGACGTTATTCCACTTGACGCAACTGCTAGAACAATGTTTCCTTCACTCCTAATAGATATTGTCACAGTATTCCAT